AAAAGCAGTTCTTTCCTGATGCATACAAACCCCAAATCTTACAGGAAACTAATTATATTGAATGCCACAGAGAATGTATCTGCTATCAATTTGCAATTAGCTATGTAATTTTACTCCCTTCTGATTAATTTTTTTTGTTCTACAGCTGTATTAGTCAGAACTTACATAAATTAGCCTTTTAATGGACAATTTGACATGAGTTCTGTGAAAGGCATGTAGAAACACTCCTGACAATCCAGACATTTTGTTCTGACAATATTAACAACTTCTGTTAAAGCCATTAGTACACAGCTGAATCGCACGGCATATGCGCTCAAGTTGCTAAGGCTTAAATTAGCAAGCCATTATGTAAGCAAATTGTAAGCATAATTTAAAGGAACTAAATCACAAACACCATGTAAAAACACCTGACATACAATTAGGGAAATGTTTACAAGTTGTCTTTCTGTCAGAGTATAAATCTCTGACATTACACTGAAAAATAAATTCGGTGAAAGCCAGATCAGAAATGTGAATTTCTGGTATTTCAGCAATGATAATAACATTGCTTTCTGCAATCACATACTACTGAGTTCAAATAAATCAATTCTCATGTATGTATAATGTGTTTTACATCCTGCTTTTGTCCCAGTTGTCCTTTACATACGTAAACAGAAAAATGAGTGAGCAAACCGCTCTATTCTGCACAAATAACATTTCTGGAAAACACAGGAAAATGGTGACAGAACTATTTTTCATCATTTGCTCTCAATTTTTTCACTTCAAATTTGATCAAAAATTGTAATCCTAATTAAACTGGTAGAATGATAGACCGATTCTAAATCATGGTTTCATCTGGAACACAGATCATCCACCTAATTACTCTGCCAATGTCATGAATTTCACTTAGCTCAATACACCCACAGCACCTCACAAAATAATTTTGATTCAACAAAACTGCTTCACTTATTCAAGACTACATATGTACCCTAAAATGTATCTCCTGTTCTGTAAGCAGAAACAGAGCCGTACGACTCCATACATCAGGTGTTTACAAAGGAAATGCATCTTTTTGCATTACCTAACCAAATATTTGGAAGAAGTTCTACAGGAATGATGCAAGGAAAAGTGATGTTTTCAAGTGTTGCTCCCTCTACAAGGCTGTGGTGCCACTGGAGGGAAGAACAGAGCAAGCAGCAGCAGCCAGGCCGTCGGGAGGACTGAGCCAGGGCTCTGCCCATACCTTGCCAAACCATGGAGAAGCGCCAGCTGGACATTTTGCTGCCTTCTCCACCATCCTAACAACCCCAACAGTTCACATCAAAGATGAGAGTGAAGGGAATGGAGAGAAGTAACTTCAACCCATTATCATTTTGGCCATTAAGATGCTGGTGTACAGAACTAGAAAGATCCAGATTGAAAGTGCAGGCACTCTGTAGGGAACTGACAACACCTAGAAAACACTGTATCAAATTCAAGGCAAGTGGCCACTCCTGCCAGCCTTCCTCTAAGCACCTACACGACTTCCTTCTGAAATGCTGTCTCACATAAATTCCTGTACTAATAATATTGTGCTTTCTTTAAAAGTATATACAAATGCTCAGTGCTCACAGTGAATAGGTTGCCAAAATCACAAAACACGGTTTCCAAATACATATAAAGTAACATGAAGGAACAGAAAACACTTGTACTTTTTCTGTACCACCACAGAACCACCGTTTCCAAATCAAATGATATTATTGCTAACGCTATTAACACCAAATACTCTCGCTGCACAACTGCAGTTAAGCCTGATTTGAACAACCAAACTAGCTAACAGTCCTCTTAACTGACAATGCTCCCTTTAAATGTGGCCTGCCTGCAACCATATGAAAGGAGAGCAGGCTCAAGTGAGAAGCATGAAGAGCTAACCCAATGCTCAAAGAACATGGAAGAACTTAAGACAGACACGTAGGCACGCATTTTGACATATTAGAGTAAGACTCATTGAAAGCTATGTGCCTCATCAGCCCCTAGGAGGTACCAGTTACTGCCAGTTCCTTTTTTTAGGAGTACTGGAGTCATCTCTTGATAAACCTAGGATGCCTGCTAACTTGCACCACAAGGAATCAGTGTTTTGGGATTTCCTTTACTATTTTAAACAAGGAGAGAACATACTAAGTTCTGCTATATATTTTTGAAAGTCCTTAAAATATATTTGGTACTTCGTTGAAAAGGTCAAGAACAGCTTCAAAGTATGAAATTATAAAAATGCTTGGCTAGAAGCAATGGTTGCAAGAGACCTCTTAAGGACCTAATACATTCCTCTACAGCCACGAGCAACCACACCACGTAAATCCTTTCCTAAACTTATAAAATGTAACCTTTAAAATTTAATTGGGTTATTTTTCCTTCCAATAAGTCACAAGAAAAGAATTCCCAAGGCTTTATTCTACTGATTGTAAAGATCTTTTTCTGAGCCAAGAGCATTTATGGCTAAGTTACACCCATTTGGCCTTTGTATTCACTGTCCTCTAGTTTGAAGGCTATTCTTATTGTTTAAAATTACTGTACTTCTAGATATGAATTCTGTATTTCTAGATATGAATTCTGTACTTCTAGATATTAGAACTACTTGCTGTAGCTTTTTTCCCACCCAGTCTCTCTAGTCTTCTCTCAAAAGCAGCTCTCCATTTCTTTGATCACCCTCTATATGACTTTGTGCATATCACAGTTTGTATTTGTCAATATTTGTAACACTGTCCACAACATCGAGGTGAGGACTCATTAATACTCATTCTTCAGTTCTACAGGAAATACCTTGAATCTAGGATAATGCTTGACTTTTCCTAGGCTTGGCACTTTGGTAACCCGCACTTCATCACCCTTTCCAACTGATGCACCCCTAACTTGTAGGAACTTGGTGCATGTGTTTTAATATTAATATAATTTTTTGTGGTAGAACTTCATGTGGAGAGAACAAGGCTCATACAGACATGTTTAAAAAGTCTTTACTAACATTAAACTCACCAGATAAAGATGGGCTTATGCCTATATGCAGATTAGTCAGGAATGTTGAGCCATTGAAAATAATTAACAAATAATATTTTTCTCATGTTGCTCTATATAAATTATACCAATTGTTCTGCTTATAAAAGATGTTATTTACTAGGTATGTATTAATATTTTGAAATTAACTTATTCTATATACTCCATTAGCTTTCAGAGACAGTCACTGCTAAAGCAATTGTACTTCATATGTTCCCCGTATTTCCCACACAATCAGGACTAATTATTGGATACTCTCCCTCTGACTCCTGTAACTTCTAAGCTGTTACACATATGTAGCTCAGTTTCATCACAAGGTATAGAAAGTATTTTCACATATATTATTACGGCATTTTCTTGGCATGTGGAAGCTTGGGAGTTCAACACAGCAAAACCTAATCCAAGATGAGTGCAAACGTCAAGGATATATTTAATTGAATTTAGGACAATCCAAATGAGTTAGGTACATCTTCAGGACACATGTCTTCAGAGTACTTTACTGCAGTGGAGCCTATTCTCTGGATCCCAAATGACATTTTTCAAAGACACAATCTCTACTGCATGCAGATGCTCTCACAATTTCAGTTATCTAGCAAAGTTTTTGTTCCAAACTGAACTGTGAAGGATGCCTCAAGCATATAAGCAGGTGAGGTGAGCTTCACCTGGATTGCTCTCCAAAACCCAGGTGGCTAAATTGTACCTACGTGGCACTTTTGGCATTTAGAAGCCCTGCTGTTTCCGGCCCTAAAGACGATTGTTGCACGTGCAGAAGCCTTTTAATACACTGCAGTGGAATGATGCACTGCTTTAGTGAGAAATCAGCATCAAGCTGAAACTTCTCTCACTCTGTCCTAAGTGATCTAGATGAGTAAATGGAAAAGGTTTGGAAGTCCTGGATTGTTTCAGCACTTTGTTCAGAGTACCACACAGAAAACAGTGGAATGAAGCTGTAGCAAGTTACATTTCATAGCCATCAGAAAAATGACCATGCTCTCTACACTACTGCCTTAGAAAAAAACTGCTGCAATACGCAGGTGTGATAGAAATCATTTTCTCTGGGTGTTGCACAGTACTAATCTGCAGGCTACAGCTATGTTAAGTTGGGGCATACCACCACTTACACAATACAAGCGTAACACCATCATCCACTCCATTGGATTGTGACGACTCGCTTCAGCTGCAGTGCCAGCCAAGCTGGCTAATTCCCACCACCTGTCTCCACGTTCAAATCTGGAAAGCCACCTTCTGCAGACCTGCCTGAGGAGAGGCAGCCAGCGGACAGGCAGTGTTCTGCTCCAGTACTGCGCCCCTTCCTCCGTGCACAGGGCACAGAGATGAGCGGGAGCTACCCTCGCCTGTTTCAGGTAAGGCACAGGCATTAGTGGTGAGTAGGGCAGTACTTGGTCCTAAAACTTCTGTGGAATTTTTAAATCGAAATTACGTGTTCAAGAGGGATTCGCTTCCATCTTGCTTACTGTATTTATGTCCAGTTTTAAGCGGTTATACTTTGCCTATGGATATTATTTCATATATCAAAAAGCTATTTTTGCAAGAATTGCCTGGATTTCAGCTGTGGGAAGAGGTGAAACACAGCAAACCATGTAAATCAATGTAAAATTGCAATTAAAATACTAAATTAGATTGCCTGAAGCTGATGGAAGGACCTTGCATGTAAAAAGTCAAATTGTTAACCAAAGACATTTTTATGAAATAAAGCTTTAATACACTTTATTACCTCCTCTACTTTTTAGCCTATTAATAATTCTCACTGCTTAATTAATTTCTCTTATTGTCCTAATTGTGACAACAGTCTTGAGTTTCCTTGCTGGGCTATCTTTGAAGCACACGTTCAGCTACAGGGATGGGTGGGAGCTAAGCATTAGGATTCCTGTTCTTCCCCCCTCCCCTCTGGATGATTTTTCACATTAGTATGTTTTTTTCCCAGTTAACTAACAACATTATAACAATAAATGATAAAAAGCATTGATTCTAACCACTTTGTCCTCCTTTGGGAAAGCATCCAAGGAAGCAGAATAAAAAGAGAAAAGGAAAAAAAAGAAGAGAAAAAGAATAAAATAGGCAAGTATTAATAGACAGATTTCAAAGAAATGCATTTCTAATAACTCTCTACAAAGAGATAAAAACATAAAATATCAAAAAAAAAAGTTTTAAATAAAACAATGACATTATTGCATACGTAGAAAACATGTTTTCCCACCCTAACCCACAGAAGCATAAACAATCTAACAAACAAAAGGTAAGCTACAGATGAATAGACACTTTTCTATTTCTGTGACTTGAACCAGTGGGTGAAAAATAATTAAAATATATTCAATGTTTTTCTGAGTATAGATAAGCTGTATCACATGCATTCTAATTAACAGTATAACATATCAAAGTAAACTGTATTTTCATAGACTTGCTCTAATGTCACCACCTGCAGGTGATGCAATGTAATACATCTATTTATATTAAAATATCAACATAGGAAAATTTTTGTTCCACACACCTGCATAATTTTTTCAGAATGCGAATTTAATTTAATGGACTCAGAAGTACATCAGGGCTACGGAAAAATTCCAAAATAAACATGAAATGCATTTTTTTCTGATTGGGGTTTTTTTTGTTTATGTGAAATTTCAGAAGCCCTATTCAGTCGATATTTAGCTCAAAGAAAGTGAAAAGGCCATAAACTAGTCCCATTCTGAACATGATTATCTGCTATAAAATTCATGACGACTTCTAACTGAATTTGTATTGACAAAGAACATTGATGCATTTCCCCTACAAAAGACCGGCACCTTAAAGCCATATAAGAAAGTTATCTCGTCTCATGGTAGATAGCAAAACTACTCATGCAATAAAACGATATTTGTAAGATGTTTTATAACACACCATAGTCCTAGATGCCAAAAACATTCACTGGCTAACGGTCTTCCAAATACAGATCCTATCACTCGTGTAAGCGAGTAGCCAGTTCCTTGCAAGGGACCGACTGAGCAGAGGGTATTCTCGGATACCCTTTGGTTTTGTGGACAGCTACTGCAGCTAACTGCATGCAGGGATCAAGGGGAGAAAGATTAGCTCACCTGCCTGAAAACAGGATACTAAATCCAGATTATAGTCTTACTTTTTCAATAAATTTAAAATAAATTGACATAACTCTCACTGTGGTAAGAAAAGCTGTTGAGGTTTTTTTTTTCTAACAAAAAAATTGACTGATATTGTGTAAGATAAATCTATAAGTGTATATGAAAAACTATCTAAAATGAAATAAGAGTTCAATAAAAATTTATCAATGTGGAGTTGTACCTGAGCAAAAGGGTTTCTTCTTTCATTCCATGAAAAAAGTATGTTTTCTTCAAGCCATCACTCAGTAGAACTATACACCATGTATCCTTTTTTTTATTAACTCTGTGAATCCTAAGTATCTCCACAATCATTAAATACATTATTCTACTTTATACACACCTCATAACGAAGTGATGAATGCAACACTTAAGTAAAATGAATCATGAAATGCCAAACTTAAGGTGAACAGTCTGCAGAGTGACAATGTCAAGGAGGCTTTTTCTTAAGAGTACACACCAGAAGACTTACATTGTTTGATCGCAGAGAGACACGACCTCCACATCGAGCACAAAACTTCGTCCGGCAATAAGAGCATAAATGGCCACAACCATCTGCAAACTTTGTTTTATGACAGATTCCACATGTTGGAGCATCATCCTTGTGCTCTCCCTGGTAACGGCGGGCTTCTTCCCCTATCTTTCTTACTTGCTCTTTATAGCTTTCAAATTGTTGATGCAACCTCCTGCATAGATGAGAAAAAAGTTTATATAGCAAGAATAGGAGGAAACACTACTATTGTGTATTTCTTTCTTTCAACTTATCAACTCCACCTAATATTCTTGGCGTGTTCACAATAATAAATGTACCTCATATCAAATACACACTGGACATGGAAGATTGTACAAGAGAATCAAAAGGAAAAAAATAAGACACACGTATTCTTATTAGGTTTACTTCAAAGCTTGTGAGCAAATCATTTCACTTGACCAGAAATTAATCCAAATGTATAAAGGCAGCAAAAAATGCATAGTCTTAAGCAGTAGTATCTACCATGTGCAGAATAAAAGCAGAAATATAATTGCCTGAGCAAATTTGCATTGTTTTTTAATCAATGTTATTTATACACAGGTGTAATAAAAAATAAAAAATCTTCAGTTAGAGTGTCACACTTTTCAAAATCAAAATTACTAAAACATATAACTTGATATTTCAACAGGCACTCTGCAATCACACTGGCTCTAAAAGAATCTGAGAACAATTTTCTGTGTCAAATCTATATATTAACAATCTGTAGTACTCTCTCTTGTTCAGTATGAGACTATGTAAGGTCTGCTGGGCCTCATTACGGACATTTCTTCCAGCTTAGCTGTAGGAGTATATAGGAGTATTAGCAGGTGTATAGATTCCTCAGCAGAAGACTGGTGTTCAAAGTAGTAGTACTTCCCCTCCAGGTGCCCCAAATAACAAATAGCCTGACACTGTGCCCACCCACCAGTTATGTGTCCTGCTACCTAAAAGACCCAGCTACTAATCACAAACCCAGGGAAGAGAACTCAGCCCTCTCACCTTCACTTCCCCTTCTGTAAGTCAGGAATAATAATACTTAAATATTTAGTGATAAAAATCTTCCTTATTATTGTGATATTATCTCTGAGCAAAAAGATGTGCTCCTGTTGGTTTCCATGAGATTCTGTTGGCAAGGACGAAGTTTCAGAGGGGAACCAGCTAAAGGTCCAGGCACTTCCAAAAGGGGCAATTTAGCTCCTCTGCTGCTCCTGGCTGCAAGCAGTTACTGCTCGAGGCACTGATTTGGATATTTACCAGTTCCTCTTCAGTGAGCTAACCCATGGACCTGAACCAACACAAAATTAATTCTCCTGCCAAAAAAAATCTTTTTCCCCATCATTTTGCTTCCTGAATCACTCTGCTCTGAGCAGGGCACTGGAGACCTGGCAGGAAGGTAGGACATGAGCTCCTGAATCCAGAAATGAGAAGGACCAGGGGACAGCAGGATCACTCTTTTTGCAGCAGGTGTAGGTGCACCTGGACAGCATTGCAACTTCTGGCCTTTCTTTTCATGAGCTTGAGCAAAGACCTCAGACAGCCTAAGTGGGAGACTCCAGTAGGGCACATTTCACAACCCAGTCTTTTCACCAGACTGTGTGGAACCTACAGGTTCTTCACCCACATTTTCAGATGTTGCTTCAAATCTACAGTTCCATTGCTAACATTCAAAAAATCATGAACAGGTAAATAGATTATTAATAGAAAAAGGGAATCTTGAGTTTAATAAATGGTAACAGTAGGTGTGCTGTCTATAGAGGTCTTGATATCCTTCATCTCCACCTGCTCTGAGCTACCTAATCGCTTAATTAGGATTGAGACTCACACCATTTAACCAATGCCCTTCTAATGAGACAATTCTGTGCTTCTGTATGATTTTTGTGTGTGTGTGGTGAACTTGTTTTTACTTTTAAGGTATCAGTGATCAGTGTTATTTGTATGAAATACTGTTTTGATGAGGTGGATATTTTTACTTTCAGATGATATTCAAGCTTAACTAGCAGGAATTGTGGTAAAATGGTAATTCAATTTAACTAGCAGGAATCGTGGTAAAATACACATGTTGCATTTGGACAAGAATATCACCGCTCAACTACTTAAATAACGAACTCCCCCACTAAAAAAGTTACTTCCTACTGGCACATTCCAGTGAGGATGCAGCAACAGCAAAAGTTAATACGCCACATAATCTATTCTCCCTCACTACAAACATGATGCATTATACTTAATGCTTTATGCTCATGAAAAACTTGGCAGAAGTAGCAAGGGTTTTTTTTGTTTTGTTTTATTTCTATTTTTTACTAACCTGCTTAAAAAAACTTCGCACTATTGAGTAAGATGAGAAAAGTAGGTCAAAAGAATTAGACAAAACGCTGGAGAAACATAATACTTCTGGCCACTTTATTGGATTACACGATTTAACTTCTCTTACACAGCTGCTCACTTATAATGCATAAAAACAACTGAAGACTTTCAGGAATTTGTATAATAACCAGCTTAAAGACCACAAATAATTGACAGGTCTGTAGGTAAATATCTTCTTACACCAAACATTCTATTAAAATATGGAACCATGGAAACTAAATTCAATTCTCCTGCACTACAGCAAGACTTAAAGCTCTGGCTCTTTGCTGATGTGGAAAGGGAAGATACCAGGAAGCACCGCACTTCTTCCTTTTCTTTTTCAATCAGACAGTGTACATCTGAATTTTTCTGATCTCATATGAAGTTTACAAAGTGTATTAATACAACAATGTTTTGCCCTTCTATGTGCACCAAGAAATAGATAAACATACTAGCAGCTAAGCAAAACTTAAGTGAGAGGAGATTTCATTTATTTATAAATATGTAGCACTTATTTACAGATTTCTTATTTTCTGCATCAGTGTAAGACCAGCCTTTCCACCACAAGGGGTTCAAACCCAAGTGCTTATCTTGCATGTCATACTCTGCATTGCTGGAGAAATCCTCACATTTTATCTACAGCAGGACTGAAATTAGAGAAAACAGTTGCAAAATTCACAAAGCAGAATCTTACCCACCCCATGGCAGGTCTCATTCCATTACTCCTTTTGCAAGGTTTGAGCCATCTTTCCCACCTTTCTGAGGAATGACAGGATCTCTGTATTTCTGGCAGCAGCAAATCCCTCTCAACAGTTTTGCCCCATACAGAAGTATTATTTGCTTTATATACAACTATATTAAGTATTCTCTGGAGCAAGATCTAAAATACAGATGGATATATACCAAGTTTGCTCCTTAACTTCCAGGCTATAGAGCACATTTTCATCAGATGCAAGGAAAATGTAAGTCTATTAAAACTCCTCAAAGTAAACAAGCACCTGAAGATTAAAGACTTCATAACAACTTGTAACATAAGGGCTTGGAGACCTCCAACAGAAACGAACCAGGCTACTATATAAGAGAAATACGTGCATATATCCACACCATTTTTCATCATGCACCCCAGAATTCAGCTAGTTTGACTACTGAGATCATGGCATAGCCAAAATGGGAGGTTTTCTCTCCCATCTAGCCTCCAAAGACAAAGAGGGAAAAAGCCAAAACAAAGTATTAGAACAAAAACATAGAAGAAAACATTTCAAGACTTAACACTGGACATGTAGAAGTCAGAATGAAGAAATTATATAGAAACTTTCCTTCTAAAGTGAGAAATACAGGAGGCAGAAGATGGCTACAAGGAGCAACCCACTGCAAGTGTACTCTTCTTACAGTCTCCATGCACATCAGGACACAAGTATGAACTCTAATTCATTCTGATTGTGTACTACCTATTAATAAATAATTGTTAAAATCACCTTCCATATGTGGTCTGTAACAACACAGTAACAAATACAGCAATATTCAGTAATAAAATAATTTTATTAATAAAATGTTGACCAGAAAAAAGTCTACCAACTAACCAATAAAATTAGTATTTATGTTTGAAATTGCTATCTTAAACACATTTCACTGAACACCCTTTACAATAGAAAAAAACCTCTTAACTGCAAGAAGTATCTTCCAATGACACTATTTTGTAAAAGATTTTTGTTGTTTCTTGCTTATTTGGGGTTTTTGAGGTGGTCACTTTAGCAAGCAATACATAAAATTTAATGACCATTATTGTTACTCAGTTTAAATGTCCTTTGACATGAAACCGCAAATCTTTGATCACACTCAAGAGAAAATGTATTTATTTATCTTTCTGTTGTGGATTAGCCTCAGTTGGCAATAAAGAACCACGTTGTTGCTCTCTCACTCCTTCCCCCTCCCCAGGGGGACAGGCAGAAGAATCAGTAAGAAAAGGCAAAAATCGTGGATTGTGACAAAAACCATTTAACAGAATGGCAAAGGGAAAAGAAAATAATAATAATACTGATAAAAAGAATATACAGCAAGTAACATTCTCACCACCCAACACTCAGCTTGCTCCTGAGTAGCAAATGTCTTGCTTTCACCGAGCTCCCCACTTAAATACCAAGCATGACATCACATGGTATAGAACATCCCATTTGATTGGCTGTTTGGGTCAGCCCAATCAGCTTCTTGTGAAAATTAACCCTATCCCAGCTGAACTCAGGACACTGTTCCTTAAGATTTGATCCTTTAAACCACAGAATATATCAGCCACTGTTGCATAAGAAGGTAAGTAAGAACTGCTAGATACAAAATTTTAATTCGTTAGAAAAACATCCCTTCAGGTGTAGATGTAAGAAAACATTAAAATTCTCATAAATTTACATATTTTATATATATAATACTGTATCTTTAATATTTTTAATATTTACATATTTACATTTAAATATTGTTGAACTAGAAGTCCCTTAATTTTTGTTCTGTAGCATTCCAGCCAGTTTTCTTGCTTAATGAATCTAACTTATTTAACCTATTGTCTCAATGTAGTAAAATTCTAGGTACCTCCAAGAGCACTTCTTTATAACATTTGTCTGTGAAACTTCATCCTTTGCTAGAAACACAGATCTTTGGAACTGTTCAGATCACCAACAGCATCATCTCATGGCCCACAGCTTCCGTACTGCTCCACCTTTTATTATGTAGTAAACTTACTCATCAGGCAGGAAAGACCTCTCCACAGATAGGATTAAAACCATTCTCCTCTTCACGGAGAAACAATAGGAAAAATATCTACAAATGCAACAATACATTTGAGAACATAGCACAGGGAAGTCAATAAACTTGAAGGATAAGCTTCCTCCAACAATATTCTTGCCATGCTTCACTTGTGCAGACCTTGCACCGCTCTTAACAAAATAGCTGCGTCTACGTGCACGAGCTGGCTCTGCTGGCCAGCGGACCTGGTGTTTCACTTTCACACAGGTGGCACATACTCGTGTGATCAAAAGAAGATTCTACAACGGGTGAATCTTTGGGCACATGAGATCTCATATGACTAAAAAAACAATCTTCTGTTTCTAAAATTCTGGAAGAGACTGAGCCGCCTGCAGTGGCACATCATATAGTACCATGGCTGTGACTCCATTTCTGGACTCTTAAGCATCAGCCTCAGTACCGTACCACATGTACATGAGCTGTTGGCACCACCACTGATAGTGCAAGCCAAGAACCGATACACAGTTTTCGTGCGTCCACTGAAAGACTTAACCCATTCACTTTTACAGTAGGACAGTACAACACATATTGAGATCTCCAGGGTTTCTTTCCCAAGAAAACATGGTGGGTTCCTCTACTCATTTTCTTCAAAGACATTTCACAAAAAAATGCTTTAGCTGTGTGTCATACATATACCACATTTTCATTTGAATACGCAATATTTTACACTGACAGTGTAAACTAGTAAAAAAAAAATACTGATGGGCAATTCTGCAAAGCTTTACTCGTGTCTTCATGTACTTATTAAAAACTGTAAGCCTTGGTAGACACTCACGTCATAAACATCTCACACACCTCAAGCTTTTCAGCCAGCTCGCTGATATCATTAGTAGGACAGACAATGGACATCGAGGTAGTCTGTAATATTAACTGATCAGAAAGTGGCATACCAAACCACACAGAAATTGTAATTTATGTTGCTAGAGTTTTTTTGAGCTGGCCCAAAATGAATATTTATACTTCTGCAATCACATCCAATAAGCAGATACTGTCAGTACAATCCAAGAATATCATTTTTGTTTAACAGACTATGTTTTTGCTTTTTTGCTGGGTTACTTTTAAAATCCTGTAGTGTATACCTATCTGAAATACTTGCACATACACATTGAAGATTAAAAAGTGACAAATGATTCACTTGCGTATCTATGCTCTGTCTGGACAGATTTTCTGAAAATTGCAAAGATTTGGGTCACCTTTATGCAGAGTTACATTTTAAATGGTTTTTAAAGGTAGTATGAAACTATGTTTTTCTACTTGCTTACAAAGCCAGCAGATGGCACTACAGATTGCATTTTCACTCTCCCAGTTCAAATGATTCAATCTCGGAATCTTAAGCACCTGATTTAACATTACAAAAACATTATGCCCTGCCTTGAGTTCATGTTAGTAGAAAGAGTGCCACCTTCTAAGTGACGTAGTCGTAAGTAACCATCCACCAGCGGCTACTGCATGCATGGAAAAAGCTTCATAAAATGCAGTACTTTGCCCTGTTCACCCGTGCCAAGCAAACACGTGATCACACAGAACTTTCAGACTTTTTTTTTCATAAAATGAGACTTTTACCAAATTCTGTTCTTAGCATTATTTATAGCCATAAAAAAAATGAATAAATAATTCAAGAATGCAAACTCAGATTTGTTTCCACACATTCTCTTCTGCTGTAGGTGTACGAAAGACTAATAGTTCATTAACGTGACTGTAGGGTCATGTATTTGGACAAAACAGACAGATTTCTAGCACTTCTGGATACGTGATATGCCCACGAAGGCAACGCCTAAATCTGCAAACCTGTAATAGACAAACTTTAAGAGGCTACGTTGAAGCTGCGATCTGAAGGCCACATGAAGCTCAGCAGCTCCATAAAGCTAGAAGCAGCCTTGGTCTCAGCGGGTGCCTCGCTGCTCTGCCAGCGCTGCAGGTACCCATCTCATGGAGCCATTCCCAGAGGAGCAGACCCACAGCCCGCTTCTCCCTCAAACCCACGAGCACCTTAGCTGGGAAAAGCTGTCAGCTTGTGATGGGTTGGAGGAATACAGGCTTTAAACAACAAACCCAAGACAGGCAACATTGGCAAGATGCTATGGATAATTTCATCTGAATAAAGGGAAACGGAGAGCTTCGGGCGAATCTAGTACGTGTTGACGAGATGAACAACTGAAGTTCAGTGAAGAAGTCGAGATATATTCGCTGACCACTTCATGCATCCTCACATCATATATAAATCTGTTATTAAAATTTATGCCTTCTGCACAAGTAGGACAAATTAAGGTTGAATAGTAAACAAACATCTCTAACTCTTCCAGCTCCCAAGTGCTTGACGTAGCAACATTAATGTGTTAGCACTTTTGAAGTCCAGGGTATTTTTGAATGTTTGGTGTGTGCTGCTGTTTAGCACACATGATACCTGGTTTGGTTGTTCTGTGAAGACCAAATAACTGCTGAATGCACTCACATTGCAAAATACTGTACTTCCGAGTGAATTTGGATGTTCTACTAATATTTCTTTATTATTGCTATTGCTGTACCTTCTTATTCAGCGTGAACTGCCATTTTAAGAGTGGAATATAGTATTTGTCTGTAAAAAATGCTCGCAAAAGGAGAGCAAGACATGGATCTGTGTAAGTTTTGAAACAGGTAGGAACCCAATTAATCAACTACTCTTTAGAGCAAAGAAGGCTGTGTTTGTGTAAGAGTAATACAAGCACTTATAAAAGGGCTTCAAATGGAAGAGTTAACAGCTTCCATATCTTGAGGGTGTTGGGTTTTCTCCTCCACAAACTGGCTGCCTCTAGCCCCTTTGCTGTTACTTGCTGTCCGAGTTCTGACTTTCCTGTGACTTCATTTAGCACCCATTTGACCTTTCCCTAGGCACATTTCCTGTAGGTCTCGTCCCTCCCCCCTATGTATTTTTTAATAAATTTTTAATAAATATATCACAATAATTATTACATATGACACATACTATAGCATGTTCTATATCCTATAATAAAACCAACAACTATTCCTCAAAATCTCAGATTTTACCTGGCCTAAAGATTTGTTCATTCTCCCCTGTTCCTTCAACACACAACTATGGATCAACTCCATTATTCTCTCAACTTGGTCTTCACCTGCCGCCCATGCCACTTTTCACTTCACCAGCAATCACCTGAATCCTGCTGAGCATCCGCCCTTTCTCCTCCACATACCAAGATCTCTTCTTCCTCCCTATTTTGTTGGTGCAAGCACAAATTTGACCATGCTTGTAACTCATAGATCTGTTTCTCTGCCTCACGTTTGTCTCCGTTTGTCCAAATTGAAGTGTTTGGCATAGATTACTGACTCCCGTCATGGGTCACCTCTACAGCAAACTCCATAAATTGAAATAGAGATTGCCTTGTACCTCCAGTAAGCCTTAACCACCACCTCCATTCTGCTTGCCACTCAGGACCAATAATTACTGTGCTACATTGGACTCACACCTATTTAGACCTTCACCTCAAAATGCTATATAAGCCTCGAAGATTAGTTTTGCGAATTTAAAAAAAAAACAACACCAAAATTTAACTAACTTCATATCCATCCAGCTTAAACATTCAGCTATCATCAGCTCATCCCTCAACTCCTCTTCTTGACAAAACT